ATTCAGGGGTTCCTCTGTGTTGACCAGCTATAAGCAAGGCCTATTGGGGGCTCCCGCCCCCCCAAGTGTCGGGTGACCAGTTTGCTGCTACTGCTGCTCACACTCACGGCTGCTCAGTGCGAGCCCCAGGGATGGAGGGCTTGCCAGATGCCCCTCTGCCCCGCCCCCTGGTCTCGCCTCCACCTGCAGTGATTGAAGTGGCCCCCAAGTGCCTGTGAGCGCTGGCCAGGGCCCCCCAGCAGCGGTGTCTGCACTGCTTTCCCGTTTCAGATGTACATAGCCCTCGTCTCCCTGCACGCCCTCATCATGGTGGGGTTCCACTTCCTGCACTGCTTTGAGGAAGACTGGACAAGTGAGTATGCGCTGGCGCGGACGGGGCCTGCGTGGGAGGCGGGCGCTCTGCCCCCTCCTGGTGCCAGGGGCCAACCTCGTTTTGCTAGATCTCCTGCAAGACTATGGAGTGCCGGGGGAAGGAGCGGCAGACCCTCTTCTCTCTCCTCAGGAGAATAAGCAGGCCCCCAAAGTCAGATCCGCAGGTAAAGTCGTGAGCAGGGAAAGCGTGCCCCTCCCCCCCGGCCCCCGCAAGAGCAGGAGGCGGCTCCTCCCTGGAAGAGGGCTCTTGAGTCTCACTTGAACCCCTTCAAGGCCCCCTGGGCAGGTGGCAAAAGCTGGGGGGCCAAGCCAGGTTCCCCAGGGTCCCAGCAAAGAGGAGGGCCTGAAACCCCCCAATCGTGTCCGGTTGCCCCAGCTGCCAGGGTAGGATTCCCGAGGCATGGGTATGAAGCGCCCTGCTCCCGTGGGCACAGGAGAAGCCCAGGGTTGACGGACAGCACTGTCACTGCTCTGCCCGGCTCAGTCCCAGAAGCTGGGGGCACGCCCACGGCCCGTGGCCATCTCCAGCAGGAGAGCCCTTGGAGTAGGCTGTCGAGAGGGCTGGAGAGGCAGCTCTGCATCTTCGGGGGCTGCTTCCTGCCCACCCACCCGCCCTGCCCCCTACTCGGGGGAGGCCACTTGCACCTGTGTGGAGATCAAGACCAGGCCGCTGGGCTTGACTGCCAGCGCCATCCTGGGAAGCCCTCCCTGGAAGGGGCAAGGCCGTTCCAGTCAGTGGGGGCATGTGCGCGCACACAGGCGGGCATAGGTGACCTTAGGGCCCCCAAGAGGCAGAGACAGTGCCGAGAGCCCAGGCTTCTCGACTAGAATCTCCCACAAGTCCGAGGTGCAAAGCCCAGGCTGCGTGCACAGCCCTCCCTCCCACAGGGACCCGGAAGTGCAGAGAGAGAGGCAGGCCGTCGGTGCAGGACAGGAGAAGTCAGGGCATTTCCACGCAGCGCGTGGGAAAGTCACAGGGTCAACAACAGAGTGGCAGTGAGAGCCACCGAGCCCGGGGTCCAGGGCCCTGACCTCCCACCACCTGGCCCAAACCCAGGAGGCAGCTCCCTCACTGGGGCCACCCAGGGATGGCCACCCTGCCCAGCACTGAGCCCAGGAGAGACGGTCTCTGCAGAGCCCCACATGAAGCATAAGGAGGTAACGGCCCCCAGATTTGACCTCTGGGCGACTCAGAGGGACACGTTTTCACTGCAGTCCCACAGCCCCGGAAGCCTGACCTGCCCTCCAGGCCCCGCCTACTGGCTGGACCGTGCTGGGGAAACACGGGGGATGAGTGGCCTAGGGCACCACTCATGCCGTTCCCCCAGTGTGGCCGACATCTCCAGGGCTCCCGAGAGGCCACCTTGATGGCAGTGTGGGCAGGCTTCCATTTCAGGCAGAAGACTGCCGCTTGAAGCCCAGCCACACACCCAGGCAGCCTGGTGTTCACAGGGCAAGGAAGCAGGGCTCAGGTGAGGCCCTGGGTGGGGGCAGGCTTGGGTGTTTAGCGGGCCTCCTGGGTGGGGGCCCAAGAGAACGCCCACTGGGGGCTCACTTCTGGTTGGCACCTCTGGCCCCGGGTACACTCGGTAACTGCAGAAGTAAGTGCGAGTGAGCTGGCGATGGTAGGGCTGAGCCCCCTTGGTCAGTTGTCCTCTGCCAAGCAGAGCGGGCTGCCCAGGAAGCTGGTGGCCAGACCGAGCAGAGGCCTGTCCTCCAGCGCAGCCTACTGGGCACTCTCTGAGGGGAGAGAGTCTCCCTCGGCCCCATCCATGGGGCCCTGCCATGCACCAGCACCGGGTTCGACGTCTGTCTGTCCACGCGGACCTCACTGTGCCAGGCAGCAGAGGCGGTGAGCAAGGACTGACGGACTCGGCAGAGCTGGCTTGGCCGAGGGGGCTTCTGCAAGGACTGAGGGGAGCCTGGTGTCGGGGCTGGAAGGCATGCCAGATGGGGGCGGTGTGAGCCCAGCCCCGGGGGGGCGTCCCCAGCCCCACGTGTCCCTCTCTTCCAGAGTGCAGCTCCTTCTCCCCTCCCACCACCGTCATCCTGCTGATCCTGCTGTGCTTCGAGGGGCTGCTCTTCCTCATCTTCACCGCAGTAATGTTCGGGACCCAGGTGCACTCCATCTGCACTGACGAGACGGTAAGCGGGGCTGCCGCCGCTGCCACTGTACACGGGGGGGCCTGACACGCGTGTGCAGCAATGCTCGGACCTTGCTCAAAAGCACGTGCACCGTGCACCCCCACTCCTGTGGGTCACACGGGAAAGGGGCCTGAGTGGGGGCCCCTGGTGGTCTGGTGGTGTTTGCCTGCACACGATGCTGTGCCAGCCCCTGGCAGACACTGGGGACAGACAACTCTCCCTGTGCAGTCACAGCTGAGAGAGGGGGAGAGCCTCCCAGAGGAAGGAATCTGCTGATCAGGTCCTGAGGTGTCAGATGGTAGGTGTGCCCTGAGCCACCACCCCCCATCACTGAGCAACGGGCAGCCAGCCCTCTTCAGACTCCTCGATCCTCTCTGCCCTCGCTAAGTGCCTGCACCCCTTAGGAGGCTGGGTGGGTGGCTGGGCTCCAGAGGAGGGGTGCTCCAAGCTCTGGGAAGGATGGGTGGAGTCCTGACTCCTTTCTGGAGATGCTGCTGGCTTCCAGAAGCCCCTCAGGCCGGCAGTCAGCCCAGAGGGAAGCCTAGCAGGGCAGAGTTACCACACAGACTGCTGGGACACACACCCTCCCCCCATGGGCAGTATAGCCCATCTAAGTCTGTGGGGGGGTCTCTGGACAGCTCAGAGGGCTGGGGACCTCAGCTATTCCTTCCTAAGAGAGCCCATCCAGTTCCTCTGCATGAGACCTGCAGGGACCCGGGCCATGACCTGCGCCCGGTCAGGATCATCCTCATGAGACTTGTGCTGGGGAGGGAGGGAGGGAGGGAAGTGCACCGCCTGCCTGCAGCTCCCAGGAAAGGACAGCTTCCCTTGGGCCTGTGTCCTCTGAGGTTCCTAGGCCATGAAGAAACACTCAGACTGAGGGTCCCCCTCAAGCCCCATCTTCTCTCAGAGAGCTGCTTTGAGGGAGGCCAAGGCAGCGGGACCTGCCCTGGGACCAGCTGCGTGCAAGGAAGGGAGAGGGCAGGCCCTGGGTCTGGCATGGGAGAGGCACAGCCCTGCAACAGCTGCGGCGCCCGCCACCTCCCTTGCACACTCGGCCTGGGGACAACCTCTGCTGGGCCTGCATCTAACTGCTCTGTCCCTGCGCCCTCTGGCCTGTACTAACCCTCTCCTTCCTCGCTGGCAACTCCCCTCTCTGACTGTTCCCTCTTGGCTGTATCTGGCTGGCTCCCCTCAGCAGGGTGCCCGCATCTCAGGGCTGGCAGGGCTAACTGCCCCTCAGAAGTTTGATTTCTGCCCTATTCCACCATTTTTGTATGTTGTTACCATGCTCATAGGTTTCCAGGAACTTCTTAATTTCGCCCCCCCACCCCCTTTTTTTTCTTTTTTTCTGCAAAATGGTCATGGTAGCCTCAGATTGCACTCAGATGGACGGCCAGTGGCCATCATTATGGTCAGCCCCTCGCTGTCTGAGGGCCTCCCCACACCCCTCCCAGCCCACACGCATAGCACACACACACAGACACCACGCACACATCCACACAGCACACACACACACACACAAAATGCACAACAGACACACCATGCACATGACACACATCACACATACACACATACACGCAACCCCGCTGCTGACCAGGCCCTGGAGGAGGGGGCCGCTGGCTGCGTTGACGCTCACCCCCTTCTCAGAGGGACTTGTAAACACTTACAAACATGGACTCAGCAGAGGAGGGAAAAATGAATGCTCTTTTTTGGATGACAGGGCGAAGGTCTCACGGTCGGTCTCTCTGAAAAGGTGCCGCTGGGTGCCCCTCAGGCTCACAGGCCTCCCTCCCCTCCCGTGGGGCGGGGGCCGACTGACCGCGTCCTGTTCTTGTTGCAGGGCATAGAGCAGCTGAAGAAGGAAGAGCGGAGATGGGCCAAAAAAACAAAGTGGATGAACATGAAGGCCGTGTTCGGCCACCCCTTCTCCTTAGGCTGGGCCAGCCCCTTTGCCACGCCAGACCAGGGGAAGACAGACCCCTACCAGTATGTGGTCTGAAGGACCCTGAGCCAGCCAGCCGCATGGCCACTCAGACCCCGCCCCGGCCCGGCCCGGCCCGGCGGCCTGCGCCCGTGAATGTGCACACCGAAAAGCAACTCCTCTCAGACTCTCGTTTTTAATCTCCAGTACACATGGCTGAGCATTGCAGAGAAAAAGGAAAAAAGACTGCCCCCATTGTATTCTGAAAGATCCTCCCCTCTGGGTTGGTTGGTTTGTTGGCGAGCCAGCCTGCTGCTCTTCCGTTTCCTCTCTCAGTGACTTCTCTGGCTTCTGGTGCCCCTCTGCTGTCTGTGTGGCCTGACTAAACCCTAACGTGGAGGGTGCTGCCTGCGGGGCCTGCCCACCTCTACTAACGGAGGGAGACACCACCCTGACGGGACTGTAAACCTCAGTGAAGAGGATGGCCGCCCCCCCTCTGGACCCCCCCTCACCAGGGCAGCACTGGGGCTGGAAGACAGCCCCTGACCAGCCGACGGCCCCCCGAGCGGACACGGTTTGCCCTCCTGGTTCACAAAGCCAATTGCCAGCCTTTGAACTTGATGGGCATCTGGGATGACATATGGTGATTTGGGGAGGGGGGTGAGGGTGGGAGGGCGCAGACGAAAGGGGTCTAATTTGTAATTCTGGAATCCACAAATATATCCCTTCTGATGATTTGGAAAGGCTGCAGGGAAGACAATGTTTCCAGTTCCAAATGCCTTACACAATCAAACAGTTCTGCAACCTCAGGCATTTCTCCTTTGTTACAGCTACTTACCCTCTCTTTCACCGCTCCCACCCCACCCCTAGCATGGTGCCAGTTAATCTGTGCTAAGGCCGACCCATAGGTCCCACACCAGCCCTAAGATGCCCACAGCCCAACCCCTTCTCGCTCGTTAGCCCATGTCTGGGGTGGGTTCACTTTCCCAGACGCCAGCTCCGTAAACGTTCTCCTGCAAGTGTCCAGCTCGGTTTGCGACACGAGCCTGCCCACTATTGCAGCCTCCAACAGGGCAAGAGACCTGGTAGGTAGCCCTTCCCACTTGGGAGGCCGGTTCGTCTCCGAACAGGTGGGGGGCCTGGCTGCTGGCGGCGGAGGTGCGGGTTGGTGGGAGCCTCTTGCGCATGCGCACGGACGCACGCAGACTCAACCCCCGATACTGACCACAGGGGACTCGAGACCTTCTGGTCTCCCAGTTGCTTGGTTGGAAGCAGTTGCCACAAACCTCCTTCTCGGCCCTTGCCTGGGACATGTGCTCAGCCTGCCCCCAGGTGTAGCTGGCTTAGCCCAGTGCTCTCCCGAAACAGGTGGAGGAACAGGCCCCGGGGATTCTCCCGTCCGTGTGCACGTCCCAGTTCCCCAGACCTCTTAGCCGCTCTGCTCCCGCAGGGGGGCTTAACAAGGCCAGCAGAGGGTCCACCGCGTATGCTGCGGTGCTGCTCCCAGCCCCCGGGGGTGTGGGGGGCATGGCGGCGGTTCTGGTGACAGGTGTACGTCCCTCCCTTCAACACGATGCCCCATCAGCCCCCCCACCCCACCACGTCCTGCCTCTAGGACTGCTCCCCTGATATCTGTTGAGGGTCTCACCACTGCTACACTTGCTAGCTGGGTCTGTTCCTGGGCTCGGCCCGGGGAGGAGACCCTCCTCCCTCCCTCCCTCTGACCACGCAGCGGGCAGCAGTGAGCTGGAGGAAGCCGCCAAAGGCACCCTCCCCACAGGGCAAGCTCAGAAAGACTGACTCGATCCAACCAAAGAACCTCCACTTGCTTCCACCGGGCCGAGAGCCTGCTCGTTTGTGCTACGCCGTTCTGTTCGCACAGGCAGCGTCCGCCTGCACTCCACGCGCCTTGTTTTGACTCGCCGTCTGCTTGGGTGTGCGAGCAGCAGGCGGCGTGGCAGTGACCAGAGCAGCCGAGGGGGCGCTGGCCCTGCTCCTGCAGCTCAGGGACGCCCCGCCAAGGAAGGCGGTGGCTGGGCTTTACAGTTGCTGCTGGAGTTGCTGACGTTTTGGGATGCCCTCGACATCCGCCAGTTCCAAGGGCATTTAACAAAGTAACCGAGCTTGGCCCTGGTCAGCGTGGAATGTCTAAGGAACCGATCGTGCCGAAAATGTACCAAACCTTTTTGGGGTTTTTTAACCATTTTGATCCTAATAACAGAGACTTCTCACTTAGACCTGAACATACTGTCTGTCCTTCCGTCCCAGAGAGAAAGGTCCTTCCACACCTCCCTGTGATTCAGCTTCTGGGTTTTCTGCGCCCTCTGGCTGGAAGGCATGAGTCCCTGCCCCCTGACAGCAGATGAGCTCTCCTACGCAGGGGCGGGGGCCTGCGTTGTCCCCAGTTCATCTTCCTGAGACTGGTCGCATGTCGCTCAGAGCCCCAGGCTGTGTGTTCCCACTGGAGGCTCCCAACCCAGCGTCCACACCAACATACAGGGCTCCCTGCATGCTCAGTGATCCCAGCCGCCTGATGCAAGGGGACATCTCTGGACGCAAAGGTGGTCCCTGCGTGCTGATGGGGCACAGGAGCGCTGACAGCGCCGAATGGCCCCCTCCTGCGAACATGAGCCAGAGCAGCCACGTTCTGGAGGTGGAAAGGTTCCCACCTGCCGGTCGACCGCAACAACCAGGCAGGAAGGACATACAAAATGCTAGTCCAAGGCAGCCTTTGCACATTTGCCAGGGCGCAGAGGCATCCTCCACGGTGACTCTGGATAGAGGTGCACGTGCTTGGGACCCTTCCGTTGGACCATGTCCTCTCCTGGACACTTCCTTCTGGGAAAAACCCAAAGTATAAGACACTTCGTGTGACCCGCTTGCTGCGCACCTAGGTTAGGCCACTCCGTTGAGACCTACCAGCCCTGGTGGCAGAAACCTTCCAGCTAAAGCAGATGGACAGACGTCAGCCTCACAAGCTTCCACCTGCCCTTCCACCTAGGCTCTCATTTGAAGCTTCCAGCGTGTGCCTGCCTGCCTGCAGGAGAAACCAGCCAGGAGCGGTAGGGGGTCCCAGCTATCATCAGTGATGTGGAGAGAGCAGGATGGTGATAGAAGCCCCTGTGGGACCCTCTTTCTGGTGACTGCAGAGGATACCCAGCCAGTGGACCTCCAAGTCCTGGGAACTCATCAGACATGCATAACCTGCAGGCCTGGAGAATCAAAAAGAGGGGATCCCAGACATCTGTGCTCAAGTCTGGGAAGCCACCGTGGGCCAGCAGGAGTCGCCTGTGGGTGACCTGCGTCAGTGTATCAGGCTTGACTGTGGGGCTGGACAACTGTCCCATCAGTCCCCTCGGCCTTCCCCTCACTGAGGGCGAGTGAGCCTGTCTGTGTGTCCAATGGGGAGCCAGGGGATCTGCCTCCCCAGCATTCCTTCCTGAGCATCAGCGCTAGGCCCGCCTCTGCTGAGTGGGGAAAGCAGTAGCCCACAGGAAGAGGGAGAGGCAGGGGGCAGCCTGCAGGGCAGTCACCGCATAGCCTCCACACAGGCCACGTTTTGTCGGTGCGACCAAACCCACACACGGACCTTCGCTCCCCTGTGAGGCCCAGCACCCACCCGGCCTTCTCTCCCTGCCGTTCATCTCGGGCCTGGGGAACCGCTGCTGCTGCCGCCACCAAGATGACGCCTCTGTCGCAGGGCTCCTCAAACTACGGCCCGAGGGCCACATGGGGCCCTCCGAGGATATTTATCCAGGCTCCCAGGTGCTTTTGCCCCATTTTGTTTTTTACTTCAAAATAAGATATGTGCAGTGTGCATAGGAATTTGTTCATAGCTTTTTTAAAAAACTATAGTCCGGCCCTCCAACAGGTCTGAGGGACAGTGAACTGGCCCCCTGTTTAAAAGTTTGAGGACCCCTGGTTTACAGGGGCATGGGAATGTACCACTGACCGCCGGCCCTCCCAAACCGAAGCAAAGCACTACCTACGACCTGTGCAGCATGAGCACCCTAGCATAGCAAAGAGGGGTCCCCAGGGAGCCCCTCTGCTCGGGGACACACACACGGCTGATAAAGCAGCCCAAGGGCTGGGGGGCGGGGAGCACTGCAGAGCTGTTTCCCAAGAGCCTTCTGAAGAGTGCTCTCCCGGGGACGCCCCCATCTCAGGCCGAGAGCCGGGAGGCCCCAATACTTCCCTTCCCTGGGCCTCCACTCGTCCTCAGCTGTAAAATCCAGACCGCTGTCCAAACTGCAGGCTGGCGCGCCGAATGACCCCCAAGGAGTGAATGCAGGTGCGCCAGAGTGAATGCAGGTGTGCCAGGCGGCAGCCGGGCCTGGCACCCAGTAATAGCTGCCACCGACGCCCGGCCCGAGGTGTCTGAGTCGTCTTGGAGCCGCGGCTTCCCAGCCACAGCTCCCAGGAGTCGTCACGTGTAACCTCCATCACTGGGTTTGCATCCCGCATTTTTTTTTCTTTAAGGAAATAAACATTCCCCATGCGGCGTAGCTGTAGGGTGTTTCCTGGGATGTGTACTGCCTGTTGTGGGTTGTAGTGAATGCGTGCGAAGCCACTGGTGACAAGGGACCACAGGAAGAGGGCCCATCGGTGTGGCTGCAGTGGGGGGGGGGGGCAGGGGGACACCCACTTTCTGATGAGCTGGAGAGGGGCACAGCCTGCTCTTGTCCTGGGGTCTAGGCTGAGCCTCAGGGGTTTTAGTCCCACGCCCCCACCCCCAAGCGTGCCTTCCCGTGAGGTGCTGGTGAGCCATTCCATGGGTGGCACCTGTGTGGTCCAGCCAGCGAGGTCCCTGAGGCCCCAGTCACAGGCTCCCATTGAGAAGTGCATCTTTGTCCCCTCCCCTCACCAGGAATCTCGCCGCTCAGGAGCCGGAAGTGGGTCTTTCAGGTGCCTCACCAAAGCCTAAAGCTCAACTTTGCCCCCAGAGCCCAACATGGGCTCCGGCCAGCTGAGAGGAGCCCCCGTGGACACCCCTGGACATGCGGGTCCACAGTCAAGCCCTCCCAATGCGTCAGAGCCCTGCGAAATGGTCACTTCTTCCCAGACTCAGAACTGACCTCCCCTTGGGCACTTGCCCACTTAACTGCTAAGTGATTGTGCTCTGCGGACAGCCCCAGGTTCTGTCTGGAAAGGTTTTAAGTTCCACGCCCCCGCTCCCCCCAAAATAATTTTTTTTTTATCCTGCCATAGGGCAGAAATCAACTCCAGGGCAGGAATGTTTATAGGATATCATCAGCTAGTGAACATGCCTCCTTAAATAAGTGTCTTCCATGATCCCGTCTGCCGGTCCAAACCCTCCCCATGGCATCATGGGTCCTGTTTCCTTCCTCTTCGTCAATCCAGGGCCCGACCTACTGGATCTCGTGACCTTGGCCCTTGTTGACTCTGGCGAAGGTCACACGACAGAAAGGTCACCATCTGAAAGGTGACCATCCAGGGACACCTAGTGCTTGCAAACATTGCCAGGCCTCCGCCGCCGCCGCCACCTCTGCCCCACACCAGACCTTGACGTTCCCGAGGGCCAGCCTGTAGACCATCTGTCCGAGGGAGGCGGGCTGATGCTGGCTTTTGGGGTCCAGATTGAGGTGGGGCCATGCTGGTGAGAATCCCTCTGGGGCCGTTGGGTGAGGGGGAGTGGTGGCCTTCCTTCCCTGGGTCCCCGAGTGGGGCAGGTGGTGACTGGTGCCCACCCCTCGTTGTCGGTGCTTGTGTGGAGCCCGACCTCTCGGCTGAAGGGGGGAGGTGGAAGGTGCCTCCCTTACAAAATGACCCTCCCCTCCCCATTACCGTAGAAGCCGCTGTGGTGGCGTAGCAGTTAAGCGCAGGTTCAGCAAAGGAAGGAAGACGGGGTTTCTGCTCCCGTAAAAAAATATTACAGTCATAGAACACCACCCCCTCCCTACCAAGGCAGTTCCACCCGGTCCTACCGGGTCCCCACTCAAATGAGTCGGCATCTACCGATGGCAGCGAGTTCGGTTTCAAGTCTGGGGGGATGCTGAGAGCACGTTCTTCCACTTACACGTGTCTGAGGTCACACAGGGAGAGCGCATAGAGAAGGCTTGGGCCAGAGTGTAGTCAGAGGTCACGTGTGTATTGACTGGCGAGGTTGAGCCCCGCTTGGCGGGGTCTCTAGAGAAGAAAGGAGCAAGGCCCACCCTCGGTGCGTGGAAGACTTCCCGAGGAGGCCCAGCATGGTGGGAATGTTGCTGGTGCCTGGCAAGCCCACCGCAGAGCCCCTGGGCTTCCACCAGAAGAGGCCCCTCTAGAGGGAGTGGTGGGCTTGGACAGACTGACCTGACTAGGCCTCTAACTCCTTTGGGCTTCTCTTACCCCCACCCCCTCTCTCGCCCGGCAGCAAGTCCCGCCAACACCCAGAGGCAGGTGAGTGGGCAGCAGGGGCCGGCTGCAGGCTGTTCCTCCTGCATGGCCAGCCCTCACCACGCAGGTGTTCCTGTGCTGCCCACCGCATGTGCCGGCACCCGTTCCCTCCCTCACCCAGTGTGTAGTGTGCCCCCCGCATGCGCCACCCTCCTCAGTGCTGTCTGCCGCACCCCCCCATGGAGAGTGCCCTGGAATATTCAGGGGAGTTACCGGGACTAGTGGTCTCGGAGATGGCTGGCCCAGCCATGCCAGGATGTTTCTTGCAGGCCTTCGACCACCAGTGCCAGGACCCTGTCCAGCAGTAGGCCTTCTCCAGGCTGGGGCCCCTGGGAAGAGGGGAGGAGAGGAGCTGGGTGGGACATGGGAAATGGGCCAGCTCCTCAGGAAGGGCCTGCTTGCCGCCCCCCTTCCCCAAGCTGCTTCCACACATGGCCTCCCAGAGGCAGCCCAGCCCCCTCTGCCCCCGCCCTGTGGGCCCCATAGGGTGCCAGGTGCCCGTCGCAGTGACTGCAGACCCTCTCTGTCCCCCGTCCCTCCAGAGCATCGAGCGCCTCAAAAGAAAGCAGCAGCCCCGGGAGCACACAGGCAGCTGGGAGACCGTGAAGGAGGCCTTTGGCGGGGACTTCTCCCTGAACTGGTTCAGCCCTTTCTCCCGGCCCTGCCAGCCAGCAGCCTCCCACAGCAGGGACTGGGTGCAGCGGGCAGCCTCGCTGTCGAGCACGGACAACACAGAGACCACGGAGGAGCAGTCCGAGGAGCACAAGGGGGAGGACTCCTTGGAAGTGACAGATGAGTAGCCCCTGCTGCCGCCGCCGCCACCACCAAAAAGAGAAAACCAACAGGGGGCAGCCCCAGAGCCTGGCAGCCAGCGGCCTGCCCAAGGGGCGGGGGGGCCTTTGACTCAGGGGGCTTGTGGCTACGGGGCCCCTGTGCCCTGGACCCTCCTCTCAGGCTACTCGCTGTGATCCCCTCCCCCTTTTCTGAGAGTGGGCGGCAGAGGGAGATGCGGGACTTTGTCCAAGTCCATCTGGGAAGAGTCGGCCCAGGAAGGGTCATCAGGGACCATTTTCCGAGACCAGGAGGCCTCCAGACCTTCCACAGCCCCTGCCCAACAGAGGACGCTGTGCACAGAGAAGAGCTTGCCCTGGTTTTTCTCAGAGGGACGTCTGGGAGCCCAGGGCCTTGGCTTCCAAGTACCAATTGTCAGGATGGCTGGCCTGGGGTGGGACACCACCATCCGGAGGGACCAGCCTGAGCTCGTCGGAAGCCATTGGCTGCCTTCCCGGGGGAAGGCTCGGTTTGAGAGGACCCCGGTGCAGGGCTACACACACACTCAGACATGCCCAGGAGAGAAGGGAGCCTGCTCCAACAGTGGCACCCCCAATCCGCGCCCACTTCACACACCAGTGTCCCCACCAAGTTGGGCAGCTCAGAGTTGCAGCCAGGCTTGTGTCTCACACACCGATCTGCCCGTTAACAGCTCAGAGAGGAGACCCTAATTTAGCTCTCCCTCCTGGAGGGAGCCTGGCAGCCCACCCTGCCCGTGTGTGTGTGTGTGTGTGTAGGCCAGTGTGTCTGTCTGAGTCTGGGTTGACTAGAGAAACAAATCCAGAGAGGCTCATGTATGTGTAAGAAAGAACTTTATGTCAAAGAGTCATTGTACATTAAGAGAACATCCCAGCCCGGTCCAGATCAAGCCCATTAAGTCCCATAGTAGCCCCTATGTCCAGTACCAGTCTATTACTTCCTCTTCAGACTCACAACACATGCAATGACGCCATGATGCAGGAAGATCACAGGCCAGTGGGTGGAAAGTCTAGTGGATCCAGTGGCGGTGGAAACATCTCAGTGCTGGCATGGGTCTCCACGTGGCTCCTCCAGCTCCAGAACTCTGGCTCCATCAGTGTAGCTACATGTGTCTTGTCAGCAGGAAGAT